GCTGATTATGTCAGTTATCTGGTGGATAGAAAACGTACATCTGGAATGGCAAATTTTCTGGGATTATGTTTGATTTCATGGAGTACAAAGAAACAAAACTATGTAGCTCTTTCAATAGCAGAAGCTGAGTATGTGACAGCTGCCTCTTGCTGTGCTCAACTGCTATGGATCAAGTAGTAACTGGAGGACTTTGCTGTATTTTCTGATTGAGTGCCATTACTGTGTGATAATACCAGTGCTCTCAACATGGCAAAGAACTCGGTTCAGCATAAGAGAACAAAGCACATTGACGTGCGACATCATTTTCTCAGAGACAATGTTGAAAAGGGTCTTATCTGCATGAAGTTCTGCAAAACAACAGACCAAGTAGCGGATATCTTCACCAAATCATTGAGCAGAGAGAACTTTGAAAATAATCGATTGGTATTGGAGTTGATAAAATTAAACTGAGCACTAGGTCCCTCAATGATTGGCTATGAAAGAATGAACATGTAAAAATAACTAAAAAGTATTTTCTGGCAAGTTCTAAATTATCTCTATAGCGTTATAGGTAGACACGCATGATAACTACATAGCAAACAAGTAGCTAATGACATTACATCTTGGTAAAAGGATGAGACTCACATTTACAAAACTAAGTCAGGGAACCTGGTTCCCTTGACACAGGTTAGTTGTTCCTTTGTATTCTCATGCATATTTTTAAACGGCTATAAAAGTGCCACATCAGTAAAAGTTCCACGCTCTCTCTCATCTCTTAAAACTCAAACATCACATCTGTTACTAAATGACCCGTCTACCCGGTGATTCGTACCCGTTTGTAACCGGTCCCTCACTTTCCCTAAATAACCCCAAAAGCTGTCTCTTTCCTCACTATCCACATCATAGCCAAAATCTCCCTTTATCTCTCAAAGAAAATACTTTTCTTCTCGTGTCCTCACTAAAAATCTCCACTATGTCTCAAAATACAGAAGTTTCAAATGTCTCTAGTGTAGTCCCTACTGTGTCCTCGTCTCATGAAGCACATAAACGAGAATCGGAGTCCCCTCTGTCACCCAGTACAAACCCCATACCAGACTAACAACCACCTACTACTTCCTCTCCAACCCAATCGAGTTCTTGTTCTCACCGCAGTTGCAAGACTCAGAATCCCAAACGATTCGTTGCTGCGACCTTTCTTTGTACTTCATCAGAAAAAATGGCAGAAGGTGAAGTAGTAGATGGAGATAAAGGTCAAGAAGTTTCTAGTTAGAAGGCTGGGGAGAGTAATGAATCCCAACAAGATGTGGTTCATTGTAGTGAAGCCTCAGCAACGCCTATTTCAAGCTTCGATTTGAATATTGCCAACCCTACAAGTAATATTCCTCATGTACCCTCTAACTCTACTTTGGGGGTAAATGAACAAGAATCCATTGAGAACATGTTGTTAATCGCTGCAGAGGGAGGTTTGGTTGGTAGTTATGAGGGTGTTAATGAGACCATTGGGTCTTAGGAGGAAGGTGAAGGTCATCAGGAAGAGGGTCGGGGAATTGGCGCCCCTTGAAAATCTGGCACCTGATAGTACTACTGGGGAAACACATGGGGGACCTGATCCCTCAGCCCAAGAGGATCCCTCTGCTCCCACTTGGGATGAAACTCCCTACTCTTTGAAAGAGCCCAGGTCAGTATTGATCATGGTCTCTCTCTTCACTTCGATGTTGATCCGTTAAACATCGTCTTTCCTGAGATGCGATCTCTTTCTAAGGAAGAGAATGAAAACAATGAAGAAGACTATGACAATGTGTCTGTAGCAAAATTCTTTGCGGCTAGGAATAGGAGGGAAATTCCCAAAGAGCCCACTCCTAAAAGACCTACTACTAGGCTGCAAAAGAAGGAAACCCTTGAATCTGTTCTAAAGAAAAACAAAGAACAGAAGAAAATGAGTAGGCTGGTGAATGAGGAAGAAGTGCCTCCAACACTTGTTGTTGATGTTGATGAAGAAGAGGTGAATGAGGAACCTTCTTCCTTGATTCGTAAGTCATTTAAGAAACCTGTGATTCCAAAACTCCGGAGAGAGCCATCTGTGAAAGCTGTGGAAGTGGAAAATGTTGAGGTGGACAAGTCTAGTGAAAAGGTGTCTGAAAAGTCTGGTGAAACTTTGTCTGAGAAGTCAGGTGAGAAAGTGTCTGAGAAGTCTGCAAAGAAATAGAAAAGTATGAGAAAGTCTATGAAAAGGAAGGTTGGTGACAACGAGGAACCTGGTTCTTCCAAGAAGGCCAAAGTGAGTGAGGCCAAGGATGAAAGCACAAAAAATCTGAGAAAACAGAGGGTACTGTGGGGCAAAACATTTGCCCATGACATTCTTGACATGACAGGGATGCGCCAACTGGTTGATATTTGTGAATTTCAATAGTGGACACACTTGTTCACCAATGAGAGCCCTAAGGTGTACGAGGAAGAAATGCGTAGCTTCTACGCATACATGTTCACAGTGAAAGAGGATAACATCTGTTTGAAGGTCAACGACATAGATTTTGTGATGGACGAGGTTGTGTTGGGGAGAATTTTGGGAGTGCCTACTGAAGGAATATCATCCATTTAGGGGACCTATTCTCATAATTTCAGAAGTTTTATTCTGCAGGATGATGCAGTGCAACATGGGGAACGGGTGCACAAGAAGACCCTCCTTCCAGTGTATCAATTGTTGTTCTAGATGGTGAACAAGGTTTTGCTTCCACGTGCAGAAAGGCGTTCCATTACGTCACTAGCAGACTTGTTCCTAATGGAAGCACTGGATGCCTACAACACTATCAATCTGCCAGGCCTCATGATCGAGCATATGAAGAAAGTGGCAGACTTTAAGGATGGTAAACATGTGTTGCCCTATGGGTTCTTGCTCACTAAGGTGTTCAACTTCTTCAAAGTCCCTTTGGGAAAAGCAATAGTGGGAACTCGCAAGCAAACCTTCTCCAAAACTACCTTAGAAGAGTGTGAGTGCATTGATAAGCAAGGATGGGCTGGCAGCAATTCCATTATTTCTCAATTGATTGATGCTCAGAATGTTGCCCATGAAGAGATAAGGAAGTTGAAGGCACAAAATGTTATTCTTGAAGGGCAGCTTAGTCAGGCCCAGGAGGCACCTGGTTCCAATAGTGCACAAGGCACAAAGGTTTCCCGTCTGACCAAGGAAGATGCAGATCTTAGGAAACAGGTCGAGGACCTGAATGAGCGGCTGCTTAACGAGAAAGTGTCTGCAAATGCCTGAATGGATATTCTCCTCAGAACCCTTGCCTCTTCATCCCTGCCTTCCCCTTCAAGTGCTCCTTAAAACAATTCACTTCTTAGTGTCAAGTGAAAAGCTGTTTGTCCTACCTTGGTCCCTTTTTTGTTTTGTTGTTTTTGTGGCTGGTACTTTTAAGTCGTTTTGATTTATGACTGGTTGTGTAACAATGGTACTACTTTTTTGTTCTCTTTTCCTTAAAATTATTGAGCATTCCGTCCTTTTACTATGCATACTATTCTCTTGTGCTCTGTTTTTAGCCATGTTTGTATGCACACATGTGGCATGAGTTAACTATGTTGGACCACTTTTTGCTTATTATTTGTGGATATTCTTTTTATGATGCCAAAAAGAGGAAAATTAATTGAGAGGATGAACAAGTTCAGGGCGAAGTACAGGATTTTGGTTCTCAGGGGGAACTTCAATTATAAGTTTGTCATCATCAAAAAAGGAAAAATTGATAAGTTATATGTGCCTTTTCATATTTTGATGATCTAATAAACTTTATGATAAGAATCAGATCAGGAATCTGTTACACATCCTCAAGGTGCCAAAACACAACAAATCTCAAATCGGGCACAAGTTCCAACAGCTAGAGTCAAAGAGACGATAGAAGAAACAGATGGACATTAGTTCCCTTGCTGATTGTACCTCTCAACTTCTCACAGCTGTAAAGTCGCTGCAACTATTCCTCTGCACACACGCAACAATATGAACAGTGCAATGGTCACTTTATGGGGAATGCCTTATACCGGATATTGCTTGCATCATCCAAGTGATGTCACTTGGATATTATTAACATGAAGCAATGAAGAAAACACACACTTGCACATCCAAAAAATTAATCAAGTTTTCTCTCAAGTGTGTTGCCATCTTGCAAGTGACTTCCAGGCTTCAAGAACAAAGAATAACGGAACAAAGGACCAATTTCCAGCTCTGTGTTATCAATATGTCCTTAGTTGTATTGTGCCTTTGTTAGAACGAACTATTTGTAATTCCTACTTAGCTTAGCTAGAAGCATTGTGTAGGAAACCATTTGTAAAACCATAAACCTTGTGTTTATGTCTTGTCTAGAATTAGTCGAGTTGTTAGCTTTGTAATAGAGCTATTACAAAGAGGCTTGTAATAGAGTTATTACAAGTGAGTGATTAAGAGTTTAATTCCTAGGTTACAATAGGTTGTAATCTAAAGTTATTCGGTTAGTGAAGTTGAAATCCTACGAGTGTAAGTCGTGGTTTATAATCCCGTGAGCTGAGAGTTTTTCACGTAAAACTCTGCTGTGTAATTTACTAATCTCTTATTGTGTGTGTTCTGTGAGAATTGATAGAGAACCTGATTCCCTATACAGTTTGGTGGATCCTAAGTTTTCATAAAAAATCTATGACGAGTAATCTATCTCAAATGGAGTACAATTTAACTACGAAGTTCTGTAACCCCAATACTACATTATGTTAATGGTGAGTGAAAAGATCAATTTCATAGGAACACTAATTCGTAATTTGTACTTGGCCAATTACCTGCTTTAGTGTCTCTCTGATAGTTACTTAGCAAAAGTTGTTTGCTCTTTAAAACAATCAATGAACAAAATTTACACCATTGTCAACATTGAAATTCTCAGTATGGTACCTTAAATTGTTCCTTTTTCATTTTTATGGGATGCATACACTGTGACGAACAGTGGCGGAGCCAAGATTTTTACCAAGCGGATTCGGAATATTAAAAGTAAACACATGAACAAGCCAAGAAGATTCAACACCTACTATTTATGCATAAAAATAATTTTAACCTTATATATACAATATAAATTTTTAGCGAAGGGGGATTAAGGTGAACCCCCTTCCGCCACCCTAGCTCCGCCCCTGGTGACGAACTAAACTACATGAATAAAAAAGCAATATATATAACAAAAGAATATATTTTTTTCTATGTACGTTCTGGATGCCAAGTTCTTTCAATCCAGCAAACACGGCGAGTGTGTACACTGGTAACTGAGTCCTTACTCCAGTCCAGTAAAGTGAATTACTCAGACATACAAATTTTTGCAATTACACCTTACTTTCTTATATATTAAAATACAAAAAGAACTGCTACTACAAATGCTTTGCATGATCAGTCTCGTCGAAAATTTCCTCCTACACAAAAGACACAATTGGCAATTTAATATTCTTGGCACTGAAAACTTCACAGAAAGCACATTAAAATCCCAAATCTTGAGTGATATTACCTGTAAAAGCTCTTCAATAACATCTTCCATTGTTATTATCCCGACAACTTCTTCCTCATCAGGGATATTTGGCAGAGTTTCGTCTATTCGCAGAATGTCTGATTGCATATCTTTTGACCACGTCCTCCTGCTCCTATTTCTTTTGGATGAAGCGTTTCCACCATTGGGCAAACTCTTGCACTTCTGCAATGATCTACTCTTCATGCTCTTCTCCAGCGGAGGCTTTTCAACATCAATGTCTACTCTGACATCTTGAACAGAATCTAGATATGGAAAACAAAAAGGAATATTGTTCACATGAGAAAAGAAGTAAAAAAAAGCTAACAAACAGAAGATATGCTCACCATCAGCATCGGCTTGGCGAGCAGGTTGAACCATCTCTTTGTTGCACTGTCTTACAACCACAGCCATATGACTATGACCTTTCTGAAACTCATTCAAGATGTCATCCAATCGCATAGTATATGGGACCCTGCACCATAAATGAGGTAATCCATGATTTGTTTATGACGGATATCAAGGCATTAAATCAACCGGCACAGGAAGTAAATATATGCAACCCACCTTGTATTATCATCATCTTCCACTTCATTTGGTTACCCAAGAAAACACACACACACAACTAAACTACCCAAATATTGGTTGCAAGAGAAAGAAATACCTGATTGATATTTGTAAGATAACCGTGTTTAAGAAATTTGGCCAGTAATTTGCATTCTAGCCACCTTACGAGCTAGGATTTCTTTCATCTATAAATACATTGAACATTCCGGGAAGTGTATTGGTATATCTCTAAATGACAAGTTGTCCAACTTGGATAGATTGTCTTACCATTTGTACTAGGTAGTATTCATTCGTAAGAAGATTGGCAGTTTAAGTGCTTTACTTGTCTTATCTAACTGGGAACCTATAGCCGTAGTTATTCCAATATTTAGACTATTAAACTTCATTTAAAGAAGGAAGCATACCGAATTGAGACAACAGTCATGCTGAGACAAACTTTTTCTAGACCTAAAAGCACTACAGGTTGCTAGTGATCGAATACAGACGCGTGTATTTGTGCACCTAATCTTGTAAAAGTAGAAACTTAATAGACAGGGAGTTGCAACTAGAACTATGGATTTTCTTTTATACTTCTTAGTCACAACATTTAAACTTGATTTTCCAAATGGAGGAGACTGCAAATACAACTCATGAACAGGTAAAACTACATCCTAGTACAATACATTCAAAGATAGTGCAATAATGCAGCCAAATACATGCATAATATTTGAACATGAGAAATATATAAAACATACCTTGGGATCTTTCGGATAGTAACATTTTTTACAGGGGTTTCATCTTCTGGATGGATGGTTAATAAGTTCTTGACCTACAAGGTCACAGGAAAAGTACGTCAATAGAAGACTAGTTGTGTTACCAGAGAAATGGAACTATTAACTTATGTACTTGGTTGGGGTATAAGAAAGACTTAATGCATTACCAAAGCAAATGAAGTTTTGTTTACTTGGTTGGGTAATGAAAACAAGAGAAATTGAAAAGACTTGGGTAAAAGTAAAGTTTGCAATTCGCCTAGCAAAATTTAACCGTCTTTAGCCACTATTGTCATAATCAGTTAAGACTATGATATCAGTTGCCTCAGCATTCCTACATAATCTTCAGCATTGATGTTATTTCGGATTCTGCTAAGTGATCTGAATTATTTAAGGCTATAATTGGCCACTGTTCTTCATAACTACTTTAGAGTATGATACCAATTAGCTTAGCTACTAACTTTGTGAATTTAGGATGCATTATATGTTGTTTTGGAGTCTGCTAATTGATCTGAACTTTTTAAGGATATAGATAGGTTTTCTACATATGGGAGAAACATCATTTGGGGAAGAACCTCAGGTGATTGTATCACTACAATTTTTCTGTTCTTGAGGGAATAGCAAATAAATGAAATAAGAGCAATAGATAACACATGGCCTTAACATTTTCAGAAAAGAAAATAGCCCTCAAATCATCTTTAGCCTTGCGCAAGGCCTCACTTTGGCTTCATTAAGCCACTTACTGTCAACCGTGGATAACAAAGAGTTGCTTTGGGATAAAAGACTATTTTCCTGGTATCTTTGGAACATGTGAAACTGTGAATTGAAAGAATGTGGAGATATTCTGTCGCACTTTTTAATAACTTAAGCAAAAATATGCTTTCAATTATGTTGAGTGCAAAATTTTCCAGGACTATGGAAAAAAGAGTAGTAGTACCAGAAGAAGTCCAATTATGTTTTTAGGTTGCTCATAGTAGACTGGTATCCTGCTATGCCCTTTCGACAAAATTAAATTCGTCAAATCCCTGCACCAAAAAGAGAAAACAATAAAGAGTATGAAACAGCTAGAGAGGTTGGGAATCATGCTGATTTTCTCTATATGAACATCTCAGAGTATGCATGCAAATTTTCTCTATATGAACATCTCAGAGTATGCAGTACCTGTCCAACTTCCCATTAATATCAATAGAAAAGGTTTCAGATATGGGGGTCATAGCATCACCGGCTGTTTTATCGTGAAGCTCCAGAGCACCAGCAATTATAGTTGTCTCATCATTTGTTAGTTCTCCACCTTTACCAGCCTGTAGAAAGTAAACAATGCAAGAGGGTCGAAGCCATAGGAAATCAGATCAAGATCTAATATCAAAATTGTGCATGAAACACATTTCCAACAGGAAAGAACAGGAAACGAAAAAGAGCAGTGAGTCAATTAAATGACACCAGAAATGGAAAGCAGCTAGATTCAATCTAACAATAGTGGAGAGAAGCACAAGCTAAAATTGTATCTACTACACAACTACAGTTAGCAATTAGACACCTACCTGATTTCCATGAAAATGTACTAAAGTTTTCAACTCAGCTCGTCGGAAAAGACCACTGTTTCGATGACCTAGCAGATAGTCTAATAGCTGCAAAAAATAGAAACTAAGGGGCTTAGGCCAACATTATGACAAACTAACTTGTAATACAGTCAGCAGTTGGTTTGATATGCCAACATCGTAAAGGGTCTAATACAAAAGACCAGTTTCTATAAGCCAAAAAGTCCGTAAATAAAAAAGTTCACCTTGCTTATTGGATATGCAATCGGAAAGCAGATCCAAACAAGAACGCGGACAACTGGGGCCATAGTTGCACCAATGGCCAGTCCATATCTAGAGCAAACGGATTGTGGAATGATCTGCTCAACCACGGAATAGTAACCATCAGTGCAAGTAAATTCAACATCTGGTGAACTCATCAATCCTCAATGCAGATTACTCAGTTAAACGAAACGTCAAATTACAGCAGAAAATTTTCTCTATTGTAGCACTTGTAGAAAAGATAATTTAATAGCACAGTAGCACTTATCTGAAGGGGAAAGAAAAGAGTTTAAGACCAAAATCAGTAAAGTCTGATTAACCTAAGAAACTCTAACAATAACTAGTTTTAGTTATCTTAAGATAACACGTGGATTGGACTTTTGTCATCCATATACATTCAGGTAGGTAAAGAGCAAGGAGGTCCACTCCCCATATAGTTGATTTTCATCTTAACCACACAGAAAAAGTAAGTTTCTCACCTCACCAAATAGAAGAATCAATGTGACAGAAATCAGTATAGCACCCCAAGCTGTTATTAGGCTGTCAAGAAAGATGGGAAGTGCCTGAAAGGATTTAGACGATCATTGATTAAATTGATATGCAATTAGTGCAAGAATTGATGCCTCTAGAGATACACTATCATAATTTTGCATACCTCCATAGCAGCAGCATTGCAGATAAGTAGGGTGCAGAGCAACAAATGCTGGTTTTGTACAACAGGCAATATCTTGGCTGTAAAGACAAATGAAAATTCCTAAATAATCAAAGCATTGATAAAGTAAATGCGGTCGTAAAGAAACTAAAAGAAGAAGAAATTTCATTGCACAAAACAGATTTACACCTACTTGTTGTCGCATAAAAGATCTCGATGGGATACCAATTAAATCAGCCAAATTTAGCAACACAATATTTTTAAACAAATAGACATAATGCAACAACAACAGCTAGGCCTTAGTCCCAAACAAGTTGGAGTTGGCTAAAGGCACAACACAAAAGTATTAAATTGTGTGATTATCTCGGGTAAAAGTTTAAGCTGTCAGAGAGAACACACTTTTATTTACTTAATTAACATGCCCCATCACATGTGCAACTTAGGACCTCTAAATTGTGCGACAATTTCATCTAAAAGCTTAACATAAAAAGATGAAATGAGGAAAGTGAAAAGGTACCAGCATTTTTACGATCACTTGGAGTTCCAGACTTGGCAAGGACTTCAAGATCAACAAGACTTAACGACATGAGGCCCAATGTAAGGCCAGACATCATTCCCGCGAATACTACCAAAAATACAATGACCAAAATATGAATGAAGAACTCCGACTCGCAACATCTGTACTCTACCGCCATTCAAAACTTGATCAATCAAAAATTCAACCAATCTTCCAACTCACAACCCTAAAGGAAACCGTCAAAAATTGACAACCAATATTCAATCGCCTCCATTTTTATTTTTTTGAAGCTGCTTCGAAACTTATACTAATGGTAGCTTAATTTTATCTTTCTTTTAAAAAAAAATCGAAGCAGAAAAGATTGAATATCAGTTATTGAAAATGAAGTGAGACTAAGGAAGACGAAAAGACAGAGAAAAATATGTTCTTCTCGTTTTACGGAGACGAATGGTTGTTTGGCGAAAATGGNGAATGAAGAACTCCGACTCGCAACATCTGTACTCTACCGCCATTCAAAACTTGATCAATCAAAAAATCTACCAATCTTCCAACTCACAACCCAAAAGGAAACCGCCAAAAAATTGATAACCAATATTCAATCGCCTCCATTTGTTTTGAAGCTGCTTCGAAACTTATATTAATAGTAGCTTAATTTTGTCTTTCTTTTAAAAAAATCGAAGCAGAAAAGATTGAATATCAGTTATTGAAATGAACTGGGACTAAGGAAGACGAAAAAGACAGAGAAAAATATGTTCTTCTCGTTTTACGGAGACGAATGGTTGTTTGGCGAAAATGGAGGGTATTTTAACGGTAAGAGTCTCTTCTGTTGGAAAAATATAACGGTAAGAGGCCTTTGCCTTTTTCATTTTACGACATCTTCTTTTTTTCAAAATGGTTGATATTCTTTCATTTTTATATAATTTTCAAGGACTTAAAATTACTAAACTAATTTTTTGTATTATTTCAATAATTTGCATATATTTATACGTTAATAGTCTAAATAAATACTACACGTTATATAAAACGGTTTAAGAAGTATTATTCGTGGTGTTGGCGATGGGGACAATCCACATGCCAGCTTCAAAACGTTGAGGCATACTACATAGGTATTCGAGAATTATACCAAACTGTGATAGTGTGACTTGGGATACTTTTGGTGTAATTTTTTGCAAAATCATATACTCGTGCTCGACAGACAGGCGTGGAGGTCGAGAATTAGGATAGTAGGGTAGATGATCTAAATTGTTCACATCGATATTATTAGTATGCACACTCGTATTCTATTGGTAGTAAGTTCTATGACTACTCACCGTTTTCTTTCATTTTGATCATCTTATTATCTTGTTATTTTTTATGCTATTTTTATTTGGCTTTTTGATGCTGTCCCTTCTTATATATCTTTTCGTTAATGTGATGCTTATTCTTTCCTAAACTGAGGGTCTATTGGAAACATCTTCTCTATCCTCTAAGGTAGTGGTAAGGTCTGCGCACAAACTAGCCTCTCCAGACCCTACGACGTAGGATAATATTTGGTATGTTGTTGATTTTCTTTCAAAATAATTAAGAAACATGTGTTTAATTTCATAAAAAATTGAAATGTATGGTTTTTGTACCCTGAAACAGTTAATCTTTTTGGAACAAGAGAGTAACAAAATATCTTAGACAAATTTCTATACACTGTAATAAAAACAATTTTAATAATACAAAATATATTTTAATCCATTCTAGTAGATAATCTGTCTTCCTTTTCAGATAGTAAATTTTATTTTTGTGATTGGCGAAAGACAAATTTTATTTTTTTGTGGTTTTTTAGTCCTTTACAAAGATTTTTTTAATTTTATATTGTACAAGGAAGTTTAAAAAAATATTTAATCCTATTTAAATTATAATACAATATCAGGCCTTTGCTTTGGCCTTTTCTTTTTCTCTCTCTTTTCCTCTTCAATTTTCCACTCCAAAGAGGACAGAGCTAGTAGAGTAGCGATAATAAACAGATCCAGATCCCCAGCTTTCAAGTTTCAACCTCAAGATCTCGCTCTCTGCTCCACTGAGTTTTTTCTCAGGTACCTCCCCAGTCTCTACCCNATTCCACCCCATTTCAAACTACTCAATTCCTTTTAACAATAATCCAAATTTGAAGTTTTTTTTTCCCATATAATATACTAGCATAGTATATGTAGTATGAGACTCTTCAGTTGTATTTATACCTTCTTTTTTTCCTTTTTTGGGTATTCGAAGCTGGAAAAGATTTTTTTTAAATTTGAAAGAACATGGCAAATGTACCACTGCCTACACCCACTACTACTTTTGTGGCAGTGAGTGGGAACTTAGTAGTATAAATATAAATATTTAGTTCAAGCCAATGGCAATCTGCTTCATTTTAAATATTCAGTTTAAATATTCCTTTGTTGCTCGGACCAATAAAATACAGCTATGGTTATAGTTAAAGCAGCTAATAGCAAATCAAAATAACTGGTTATAGTAATTGTATGAGTCAAAATCTATCCTAGAATATTTAAGATAAGATAACACTAAAGAAAGCATCTTCGAGCCGTCGTCAGTCGAGGTCACCAGGAAGCAGCGAGACTCGTGGTCGAGATGTCAACAATGGTCGAGGTCGAGCACCGTTGATGAAGCTGTAACGACAAATTTTCGAAATAGAATATTAAAGAGAATATTCTAGTGGATATCCTCTGCACTTGTACTATTATGGTTTACTAGGAAAATGTGTCATATAAATAGAAAAAGGGACAATGATAGGGGACATTCATTTTTGTAAGAACAGACTTTTGACAAAAGATTCTCTCTCTTACTAAGATACAAACACTACATTTTCATCAAGATTTTCATTCATATTATTCTATACTTTTCTATCAGATTCTAGAATAGTTCGAATATTCTAGGATTTGTCTGTCACTCGTCATTGTCATTATTGGGTGAATCACTCCTCCTATTTACTTAAATGCCATTTATTGTTATTCATTGCTATTAAATGTTACATTATTGCTCATACATTTTGGAATAGTTATTACACGCTGCTGTCTTTCTTCCACCAGATCCATTTGACGTCAGTCACGTTTTCAAACTTCACATCTAGAAATATTATTGTTCAACTGCAGAAAACAATATGGGCATTCCATTTCATACTTAAATGTTTTTTACAAAGGCTCGTGAAGACGCCGACAAAAATACACAAGCTTACAACAAAATAAAAAAGGAGAAAAACTACTGGTCGCCGCCATCGGGATCTTCAGCACCATCGCCCTGACCACCGATACCTGGGCCGTCTCGATCCCCCTCTTTGTCATCACCATTACCCTCAGGGTATGCAGCATCATACCAGGTGTTCTCTTCAAGCTGGTCCACGCCCCCGTCCTACTCGTCATCACCAGCCTCAGGCGTGGCGGGATCATATCCATAATGGACCCGAGCCTCGCGGGCCTTAACACGAACGTCATCAAGGGCGGCCGCAGAAACAGACACCACCTTATACAAATCTCAAAACACGTCCAATTGAGCTTTAACATGAATCCATTCCTCGTACAGGTCCCGGGGAACGTTTGGGAAATTTGAAGTGTGAGAGGAAGACGACTGCGCAAACAGTTGAGCCTTTTCAGCCTCTAAGGCGGCCACCCGGTCCTGAAGGAGGGAGTTGTCTTTTTCCAGCTCTCCTCTCCTCTCCTCTAATCTATCTTCTTTTGCCTTCGCCGTAGATTGGTCAATCTCCTGCTTGGCCCAGAGAGTCCTATTCGCCAACTCTAACATCTCCGAGCCTCCAAACAGGAAGACTCCGCCTTCTCAAGCTCGCTCTGCTTCTCTGTGACTTCGCCATGAAGGACCTCCATCTGTAGCCGGCACTCTTCCAACTGCCTGCACATCTTGATCACTTGCGTCTGAAGGTCGCCACATTGAGCCTCTACGGCTCTGCTGACTTCGAGCTCTTCCCCCTTACTTCTCAACGTCCCCTCAAGAATACTACACTTCTCGATCACTCTCACCAGTTTGTCATCCTTCTCCTTCAATTCATCACGAAGGGCTTGCAAATTGCCGCCCTCACCAAACCGCCTGCGAAACTCCCGGTACTTGCCGCGGTACTCAAAATACTTGCATTGCAGCTTCTCAAATATTGCCTTACGCTTCTCCTCCCTTCGGGCACTTTCGATCTCCAAAATCATGGTCAACAGTCATTAAAAAAGAAAAAAAAGGAAAGCGAAAATGAGAACGCCCCCGCTAACAAAGGCAAAGCACTAAACAAACAAATACAATAGACAGAAAAACGAAGCCCTAAAATACTTTCCGTGAGAGCTATTTTTTCCGTTAAAGGAGATTCGAGAAAAGATGGAAGGCCGGCTATGCTCCTCGACAAGGTAATATTATCCAGCTCTTTGAGGGTTTCGCCCTCCACGTCGGAGTAAAGAGGGCCGAGGGCAGGGACTACGTTCTCCGTATTCTTCATCAATAGATCACGATCCATGTGGATCGCAATGGTCCTCGTAGATCCCTCCTGCCTCACCTTGAGCTGGCCTCAATAAGCGGAGGGACTAACTGTGTGGGTCAAATCTGCCCTAGAATATTTAAGATAAGATAACACTAAAGAAAGGATCCTCGAACCGTCGTTAGTCGAGGTCGACCAGGAAGCAGCGAGACTCGTGGTCGAGATGTCAACAATGGTCGAGGTCGAGCACCGTTGATGAAGCTGTAACGACTAGTTTTCGAAATAGGATATTATATAGAATATTCTAGTGGATATCCTCTGCACTTGTACTATTAGGGTTTACTAGGAAAATGTCTCATATAAATAGAAAAAGAGACAATGATAGGAGACATTCATTTTTGTAAGAACAAACTTTTGACAAAAGACTCTCTCTCTTACTAAGATACAAACACTACTTTTTCATCAAAATTCTCATTCATATTATTCTATACTTTTTCATCAGATCCGAGAATAGTTCGAACATTTTAGGATTTATCTGTCACTCATCATTGTCAGGAGGAACATCCATCTAGTTCATCCTTTATTGGGTGAATCACTCCTCCTATTTACTTAAATGCCATTTATTGTTATTCATTGCTATTAAATGCTACATTATTGCTCATACTTTTTGGAATAGTTATTGCACGCTGCTGTCTTTCTTCCACCAGATCCATTTGACGTTAGTCACGTTTTCAAACTTCACATCTAGAAATATTATTGTTAAATAGGTTTAACCCATTATCGCATAAATTTAAGTATTTGAACCAAGAGTTATATTTTTTGGTCAAATAGTAATCTTGAAAGGGTTAAATTAAACAAAATGTGTTCTTTCTAACATATGTTCAAAATGTACTTAACTAAAATTTTAATTTTGCAAAATAGGAGGATATACAAAAATCTCAATTTCAATTGAAAGAAGACGATCCTCACCCTTGTTAATGGAGGAATATGTTAGTCTTTAGTTTATCTAACATGATTTTAATGAATGCTTAGTTAAGTTGTAATTAGTTGTTTTCTTGTGTGAGAATTTCCTTTTTGGTGAAAATCATTTGTTTTTTTGAATCAAATAGATTGATTGATTGCAGTGTTGTTTCCTTTTACCTTTAATTCAAATGACCTTTGAATCTTGTGAAACCAAGAAAGGTTGAAGTGAAAAGAAGATTTCTAGCTATATTTTATTTTCAATCGTTTATTTATTTCGTTTTTTAAACAAAGAATCAAGCTCTTTATGTTGTCTACCTCCTAAATCCTTAGAGAAGCTTAGCATAGGGGTACAACTAAGGTTGTCCAACGGGCCGTCCCTTCCCGTCCCGTCGCGGTCGCAGT